TATTGGCAGTTTGGAGGAACATTTAAGCCATCGTATCTGAGCGCCTCTGCAACGTGTGATTATGTACGAGTGATGGTGAAAGTGTTGACTGATGAAAGTTTTTTTTTTTCTTTCTTTTTGGGTCACCATGCCTCAGTGGGAACCAGCCGAAGTGTTTAAAAAAAAAAAAAAAAAAAAAGTACAAAATTATGCAGGTGGAAAGTGGTGGTCTGGGCGCATTTATGCATCAGCGATTTCACCCATTATGTAGCTTATTTTAGGCCAATTTCAATGGGGGGGGGGGAGCAAGATTTTTTTTTATATACTGTGAACACCCACCTCAGACCCTTTCTCTCATGTCAAGGCCAAAATTTACATCATGGCAAATTTGAAGGTGCTGTGTACATAATGCTGGCCTCGGTAACATTGATCTATGTGAAAGATGGCAAAACAGTTAAACTGCAAGTCTGTTTCATTGACAAACCTTATCAAAATATACCAGAAAAAGCCATTAAAGAACAAACATAAGTCTTATGTTTATATTAACATGGTTGAAAAAAAATTTCATGCCACTATTGTAGCACTGACAGTTATAATATTGGTATTACAGGTAGTAGGTGTATCAAAGATCAAGGGCTCATCTTCCTCATTTTGATGAAAATGTTTCAGAGGGTTTGATTACTGGTTTTTGGAGTGAAAAAATTAAGTTTTTCTTGATAGTAAAGCTCACTCTTGTTTATACAACATTTTGTAGCAGGAAAGAGTTTTCTACAGTTTACAAGAGTATAAACTCCATGATCTGTCTAGATCCCATTTTACAAAGATTGACTATCATCTTCATACCCTCAGACAACTGCTGTCGTTATTTCACAAAGGAGAAGTGCAGTTTCGGCATACTCCTTATCAGGCAATGTAGCTCGCTCTTGGTCATGATCCATCAACTACTCAGTGGAGAGGTCCTCTTGCAACAACTCGTCCACATCTTCAACCTTAATGTCTTCAAACCCGACTAATCTTGAAAACTCCATGATGTTTCTTGCCATTTCTGAAAGTATGGTGAACGCAAGAAAAAATGGAGACACATTTAGGCCATTTTTCTATGCACAATTCATTCTGCCATATGTGACTTACTTCCTCAAGTGATTTAATGCTAAGAACTTCCATGAAGTCAATTTTTCAATTATGTAATATTGTTTGCATATCTGTTGAAAGATGATCTGTACATGTGATGGAGTTGTGACATGACCCTCTTCATATTATCTCTTACATAAGGATATTACATTTTGATTTGCTGGCTAAATCAATGAAGTTGTATTCTTGGGATAACACTACCTGTAACACTGCATGGGCTGCAAAATCATCCAGTAAAACCAAAGTCTTATGAGAAATAGTTATTTTTTGCAGTACACTTTAAAAGGTTGTGGATAAACAGTCCCTTTGTTACTTGAGCTTTCTTATTTGGTCACATTAAAACCTGGACAACTCTTCTCTTTTTAAGGAACAGGAAAGTGATTCTGAGATTTTCTTACATCTTTATTTCATCAATAATGAACACTTGCTCAGGTATACAGCCACCTTATTATTTCAAGCAGATTTTGCTTAAAATTAGTCGTTTCATTTTTATCAACACTAGCAGCCTGGCAAATCATTTTAAATATTAATAAATGCATACCATTACACTTTTAAGCCTAAGATTGGGAGTTTGTAGTTGAAATTTTGCCTGTTGCTTCTTTAGATTCAAGTAACTGATTCCTTCTACCGAATTGCTTATGACTCTCAGGGATAATGTACCGATTCTGATCCATATAAAGTACTTAGTAGTCTTTCCATATTATCCATTACTTCACCTGAATCATGTAAATTTATTCATCAGTGGTTATCAATGAGTCTTCCTCTTCATCCATTGACCACTACTGTTCTTAGTCTTGCCACTCTAGGACCATTTTTTATCCATCAATTATGGGTTTAGACCTTATACAATGTTTAATATCATACAAACAAAACTTTTAAAGCAAATTCATGTAACAAAATATAAAGATGGCTTCTTCACAAAAACTGAAGGAAAATAAGTGTAATAAATATATCCATGGGTGCCATGGCTAGCAAGTCAGGAACTCAATTGGCTCCCTCTCCAACCTCCCTCCCGTTCAACTGTAATTTCCTAATAATAATAATAATAATAATAATAATAAAATGTAAAGGTAAAAAGTTGAAAGTGAACATAGATAAGAATAAGGTGATGAGGGTATCAAACTATTTAGATAAAGAAAAATTGGATATCACATTGGAGGGAGGGAGTATGGAAGAAGTGAATGTTTTTCAATATTTGGGAGTTGACTTGTCAGCGAATGGGTTTATGAAGAACGAGGTTAACCATAGAATTGAAGAAGAAAAAAAAAGGTGAGTGGTATGTTGAGGTATCTGTGGAGACAAAAAATGTTATCCATGGAGGAAGAGAAGGGAATATACAAGAGTATAATGGTACAAATGAAAGTACTTTCTTTTTGAGGATTTTCTTTCTTTTTGGGTCACCCTGCCTCGGTGGGAGACGGCTGACTTATTGAAAAAAAAAAAATGGTACAAACACTCTTATGTGTGTGTGAAGCATAGGTTGTAAATGCTGCAGCGAGGAGGCAGCTGGAGGCAGTGGAGATGTCCAGTCTAAAGGCAATGCATGGTATAAATATTATGCAGAGAATTTGAAATGTGGAAATCAGGAAGAGGTGAGGAGTTACTAAAAGTATTAGTCAGAGGGCTGAAGAGGGGCTGTTGAGGTGGTTTCATCATTTAGAGAGAATGGAACAAAGTGGAATGACTTGGAGAGAGTATAAATCTGTAGGGAAAGAAGGGAGAGGGAAAAGGAGGTTTTGTGGATGAGGGGCTTGGACTTCCAGCAAGTGTGCATGAGCATGTTAGATAGGAGTGAATAGAGACGAATGGTTTTTGAGACCTGATGAGCTGTTAGTGTGTGAGCAGGGTACTATTTTGTGAAGGGATTCAGGGAAACTGGTTAGCCGGACTAAAGTTCTGGAAATGGAAAGTACAATGCCTGCACTTTAAAGGAGGGGTTTGGAATATTGGTAGTTTGGAGGGACGTCTAAACTGTTGAATCTGAGCACCTCTGAAAAGACAGTGATTATGTATGAGTGATGGTGGAAGTGTTGAATGAAAGTTTTTTCTTTCCTTTCATTTTTTCTTTCTCTTTGGGTCACCCTGCCTCGGTGGGAAACAGCCAAAGTGTTGGGGGGGGGGGGGAGATGAATAGGAAATTTTGAAAGAGATCTTCAGTGGGGTATGCCTGTACACACTTGTTAACACAGTTACTAAAAGACAGCGAATAACTTGCCAGACTGGGGTGTACAAGCTTCGAAAAGTTGTACATGAATGGTATACAATACTGACAATATGAAAATTAGACACCTGGAACATCTGGGTATCTTTACTGCAGACATTTCCCCATCCAGTTTCTTTATCAATACAAATTCAAGGCCATGACTGGAAGACAGACGAACTATATACAAAAGATGAGGTAATCAGTCCCTTGAAGGTGGTGCTCTTCACACAACCTCCAAGGCTGAAGGACTGATTACCTCATCTTTTGTATATAGTTCTTTCTTCCAGTCATGTCCTTGAATTTGTAGTAATAAAGCCACTGGATGCAAAACATCTACAATAAAGATACCCAGAGGCTGCATGTGTTTCTAATTTTTATCAAGTTTTGCAAAGTCTCGTTTCATCCTTAAATGTTCAAGGAATATGAAGACAAATTTAAAACTTAACTCTGGTTTGAATACAGTTTTTAAAGTTGTTTGTAAACACACACAATAAGTTTGTGACTTATCATCTTTACCCCTAGAGAACTCCCATAATAACTAATTCATTACAATAATGGTATACACCTGGGTATCTTTATTTCAAGGTGCTTCACCAACCAGTGACTATCAATAGATATACAAAGACATATAAACATTAACTATCTTTACATATCTTCTCTGTAATGAATTGATAAAGCCACTGATTAGAAAATAAATGTTCAAATAAAGATACCCAGGTGTTGCACACGTATTTCCTCATCTTGTAGGCCTTCTTCTTTCAACAAACTGGTTGTATCCCACCTAGGCAGAGTGGTCCAAAAAGAAAATGTACAGCAGTACTAAAAATGCCAGTCTAGAGCCATGATGTTGCATTAGAGAGGATTATAACCAAACATGAGTTTTGGAAGTGCCACATGAACTGTGGTGACCCCACACTTCTGGCAAGATAGCCATTCAATAAGTGATAATGAATGTTTTCCTTCACTGGGTCACCCCACCTTGATGGTAAAAAGGACAATGTAGTAACAATGAAACAGCTGTGTTTATTACATTCTAATACCAAATGCATATACAACAGGTCCCACTTATAAGGATCAGTAACACTTAACACAGCCATTTGTAATCTTACTTTATCCAAGATGTTTATTGTGATCCAAAAAAAAAAAAAAAAAATCATGTTCATTTGGGTACCTTATCTACACCAGTCATTAGTGTTTATGTACATATAAAATTTCTAGAGTACTGTTTAAACTTATGTAGAGCAGAGGTGCTGTCACCAGTATAATGATATCCCAATACATCCCCCCCTAAATTATGGCTGGCTTCCATATGTGCAACTTGAGTATATCTTTACTTCTCATATCTTATGCGTGTCCTTTTTAGATGATCCTAACTAAACAAAATGTCAACAATATAATACAGCACTGGGGCCTGAAACACATCCACCTTTTCTCCAGTTAGATATATACAAGTTTCATATCTGCAATTTACACAGATTTTTTTTTTTTTGATGAAAAATAACAAATGAATGTGTATATATTTTTAACAGATTCATGTTAGGATAAACCACCACCTTCAGATTCATCAGAAAATGCCACAATTAACTGTATTTCCATTTATATCACACAGTGAAAAGATCACACGCAACCATTAACAATACATCTGCAGTTTATATCTTTGGGGATACCTGAAAAGTCTTGACTATACCTTTCCACCCCGTAGTCAAAGTCGAAGTCATGTCTTTTCCTTGCACCACTGTGATCCAATATAGGAGTGGTGATGAGACTTTTCGGAGGTGTATTGCTTATGACTTGCGTACTGCTCTGTTGATGCTGCTGTTGGTGATGAACTTGTGATTGTGTTGTTTGTTGAGTCTGAAGAGTCTGTTGGGTCACAAAAGAAAACTGTACAATTCACAGCTGTAATAAAGAAAAGTTCATGAGATATGAAAATACTACTGTACTAGAAATTGAAAAATCAAAATTTTTTATGGTTACCCTCATCAGAGGACAGTTCCCAGGAGATATAAACAATGATAATCTTCCAAGGTATAATATACATTGCATGTTGAGTACCTAAACACAGTCCAAAGTATAAAATACAGAACATGTTGCATACCCAAACCACAAACCACCCTAGTATCATTCACCCATATTAAATACCGTTACACAAATAACCTGCATATAGAAGAGAGGAGCTTACAACGACGTTTCGGTCCGACTTGGACCATTTACAAAGTCTCACTGTGACTTTGTAAATGGTCCAAGTCGGACCAAAACGTCATCGTAAGCTCCTCTCTTTTATGTGCGGGTTATTTGTGTATCGTTCCAGTCACGGTATTGTGCCTTTTTTGTTATTACATACCCTTTCTACTAACTTTCATACCAATCCCCAACTATCCCACAGAAATCTACACCTTCAAGCCCATAATACTCAAAATATCCAAGTGCTGCCATGCTCAAGATTCATTACATCCCAAAGTCTCAAAGGTGTCACAAACTCCCCAGTCCTTCAATACAATGACAAGTGCTGGCCTGGTAGGAACAGACATCAAAGGAATGTACAAAAACACAAAGTTACAAACCAACCTCAAGAATTTAATGAAAGAGTAATGGAAGAAATCACAGACATCACAATTACAGAAACCATTTTTTTTACTGAAGGATACTGCACAGAGAGAGAAGGAAACAACAAAGGAAAGAGAGAAGCACTCCTTATCAAAATCAGTCAGACCGAGAGAAATGTAAATTCCAGATTATGCCGATTTCTCAGATTATATAGCTGAATCAAGTACCACAGAGGTTGGTCTGTGTTTGCTGTTCATAACCAGCCACCATATAACAGAAGACCCAGACAATGTCAGATACAGCATACAGCTTAGAATAAGCTAGTTATAGGGAATTTCAGCCATGGAAGTACAAATTGGAAGAGCTGAACCACGCAGGTGCTTCAGAAAGAGCAGAAAGCTGCTTGAATATAATGGAGAACTTCCTGAGGCAGCATGCTAAAATCCATCAAGACCAGAGGTAAAATTGCTAACTGATGAGGATGAACCCCCCAATTTTCACTTCCAGCGAGACAAATAAGAGAGAATGCTGAATATGAAGTGACCTTGGGAGAAAGCAATCACTACATGTTGACATTCAGATACAAGGTTGAAGTAAACAAAGGAGAATTAATGTGATGAACATGATAGATAAATATGAAGGAATAAAATCTCTTTCAACAATTAAAGTAGGATGGTGAATGCAGAGGCCAATCCATCCTTGAATATATTTTTTTTTAAACTAGAAGTGCAAAATGGAGAAAGAAAACTTTGCACCCACCTGCAGCATGATATATTTGAGACTGAGAACTTATGGTTCGACCAACCATGTAAGAAAGCTAAAGCCCCTAAGATACAAGTACAGAAAAAGTGCAGAATAAATTCAAAGCCCAAAAACAAGCTAGAAGAGACAGATATTAATATCCTTGGGCGATGAAGGGGAAAAAAGAATTTGATATGGGCATAGCAGTCAAGGCAAAGAAAGAACCAAAGCTACTTCACAGCCAGATCAGAAAACAATTACAATAAGGCATCAAATGATAGAGAAACAATTACAGGAAATAACAAGGAAGCATGCAATGAGCTCAACCTCAGATTCCACATTTGTGTATAAATAAGCGAGAGCTAATATCAGAGAGGACAAACCAAGCAGAACTATCAAGCATATAGATTAATGAAGTGATAAGACTTGATAAAACATGACATCGAAATCATCAGGACCCAGTCCCATAGCATCACAAATATTAAGATCTGAAATAATGAGGAAGCCATTCTTACACATCTTTAATTTATAAACGACCAGTGAAGTGCCCGACAAATAGAAGGCAAAAGGTAGAGAGATAAGAAGCCCTGGAATGTAAGACCTGTGACCCTAATGAATTAAATGTGCAAACTGTCGTAAAGATAAGAGAAACTTGTATAACATCTACAAAGCACGAAATTCCTCGCAGAGCTCTAATATGGATTCAGACATGGAGGCTCATGCCTTACAAACCATACTGTGACACATTAGACTAAGGTCACACACTTTGATTACATATTCCTATACTGCATTGTGATATAGTACCATTTAGGTTGCTTAGCAAATGGGAAAACAAGCAAAGGTAACAGTTAAGGTGTAACATGGAGAAGGGAATATTTTAATATAAAACAGTTGATAAAAAGAAAAAATTATCTGGGGGTATATTTGGTATACCCATAACAATTAGTTAGGCCTTATTGTTCCTAGTTTGCATTAATAACCTGACAAACGGGAATTAATTCCTACATACCCGTGATGATGCCAAAATAAGTGAGAAACTAAAGAGGATAAAAGGCAGAAGACCAAGACAGACCAAGAAAGGCAAAATAAATATTTACTGAAGTTTAACCAAAATAAAAGCAATGTTATGAAGCTAGAAAAAGAGGAGGGCGACTGAAGACAAAATACCGCCTGATATGAGATGGGGAAAATCTCATGGAGTCAAATGAAGTCCTAGGAAAATCTATTTCCCCAAACCTATCCCCCTGAAGCACACAAACAGAATAACATCAGCAGCAAAGGCTAAGCTCGCAAACAGAAGAGTGGCATTCAGAAACTTTGAGAAGGTACATACAAAATACACTTTACCTCATACTTGCAACCCATTCTTGAGTTTGCAGCACCTGTATGGAACCCTCACCTAGTATAAAACAAAGTGAAACTCGAAAAGTCCAAAGGAGTGCATCTAGACTGGTGCCTGAGTTGAGGAGAATGAGCTATGAAGATTGCGAGAGCTAGACCTCTTGTCTCTGGAAGAACAAAGAACAAGAGGGGATTTGATCACGACACAAAATACTTGGGGGGAGGGGGGGGTGCATAGACAGGGTAGAAAAAAGATAGGTTCTTTACTAGGAAAGAATCAATACAAAGAAAGCATGTTTGGAAATTATAACACCCAAATGAGCCACAGGAATATCCAAAAACATTTGAACATAGTAGGAAAGTGGAATGAACTAGAAGACAATGACACAGGGAAGGACAAATTCATACAGATTTAAAAGTAGGTACAGCTATTTCATGTCAGTTGATTAAAAGTTAAGAGGAGAAACCAAGAGCTATGAACGTCAACCCCTCTCCTGCAAACTCAAATTGGATAATTATTACTTTAGACACTTGGCAGCAGCACAAAGAACCAGCACCAGCAAATCCTCAACATTACCTCATTTGCTTCGGAGAATAAGTGCTAGAGGGCTCAGCTTGAGTGGCAATAACCCAAACATTCATTCATTTCTTCCTAGCAAACTGCTTCTGCTCAGCCTTGCTCACTCTGATTTCTCAGTTCACAAATTCATCTCACATTTACTCTCATTTCCTTCACTTCTCTTCATCCACTTGTAGTAAAGTTGAAATGGAAATACAACATAAATAATAAATACTATCAGTAGTCCCCTATTAATTAAGCAGTCTCTTATTAATCTTGTCAAATTATTCTTTCTTCCCTTTTGCTGTTACACAGAGGGTTACATACACTGACAAAGTTGTTTTGCCTTAAATTTCTACTAGTAAGATTTATAATACTTAGCGTTGTACAGTATATTATCACTTTTGTAGCCTAAGTTTTTATCAATAATGTCAAATCACCTACATGCATTCTCCTCTGTTCCTTCTCCATACCAAGAAATCTTCCTTAAATGTGCTTCATTTATAACAAGTTTCTTTTAATGTATCTGTGCTAACTATCTGGTTTCTCCTCATTTATCATCTCTCTAAATTAGTCTTCTTTATAGTATTCCATCTATTTGTAAATAAAGCTATTTCTTTGCTTGTTTTCACTTGATTTATGTGTATTTCTAAGTGTCCTAGTAAACTATTTGATGGAAAAGTTGTCTTATCAGTCTATAGATAAAACTGTCTTTTTTTTTTTTTATCTTCCTTTCATTTCTTTGGTACAGCAAATTCTATTTAATCCTAAATTTTTTTTTCTCACTCAATAGATCTTGTATAATTGACATATACTTGGAATTTCAACTTTCCTCTTAGCTTCTGACTGACATGAAATAACTGTTTCATCTATTATCTGAACCTCACTCTGTCACTGCACAGTTTATTCAACTTCTTTACCACGCTTATGTTTAAGAAGATATATCGACTGAAGTGCATCTCTACATCAAAAACAAAAGACAAAATCATCATACCCAAAAGGTGTGTCCAGCTCTATTTCACAAACTGGGCATTTACTTGAAAGTTGAGGGGCAGATTTACAGTGCGAAAATTTTTTTTGTAAATGTTTTGCCTTACATAATAGATACTACAAAAGTACATGCATTAACTAAATGTTGGTCAGAAAGATGTATTAAATGGTTTTTCTGGTGAAAAATAAATATTTTATTAAGCAGCAAAAGTGTACAGACCCTGTGAGTAATGGCATACATTAGTAAAGTTACAAAGTAAAATGAAAATAATAATTTATTATATACCATACTGAATACTGAATCAGACTATACAGTATTTTACTTATAATATTTCCCCAACATTGGCTTTTTGTAGTAGAACAACCAAAGTATTCGTAACTTCCCACACTGTATCTTTAATTAAGCATGTTAATTTTGGAAAATTTCATCTGTATAATTCCAAGAACTTACTACAGGATTGGCAGTTAAGGAGCCAGTCTGTGTTCGGATAACAACTGGAGAGGTAGTGAGTGATGATCGATTGGTAACCACTGTGTGGTGCTGCTGCTGATCCATGGTTCTTAGGGGAGATTTTAACTGGGCACTGCTTACAGGTAACACTACTTGATTTCCTCCTGCAATTAAAAAACAAATACTCATTAGTATAAAGAATGATATTTTATAACTTACTGAAATGGTAATTTCAGTAGCTACTGTTGCATAGAAGGATGAAAGCATGAATGTACTCAAATGTTATAGTTATGAACAGTTCATAAGTGTAAACTAATTTCAAGACTGCTGTGGTAGCTGTAGTGGGTGACTAAAGCTTATTGAGGAATTTAGCCAGAAACTTCTTAAAGACAGATACAAGTCTGCTGGAAATTCTCCCTATCTCTGAAGGCAGGGTGTTAGTCAACATTACTTTAAACTTATCAAGTTATCTCATAGTGTACTTATTGTGGCTCTGCTTTTCACAGAGTATTCTGCCCCATATTCTGAGCCTCTTGTTTTCGTGGGGAGTGAATGAGGTGCAAATTTGGGACTAATTCCCCCAGAATTTTCCAGGTTGCCTACACTGCAAGGGATACAGGTAGAGGGACTTCAGGCATTCCCAATAATTTATTTTCTTGAATGAATAAATATGAGCAGTGAAGGTTCTCTGGATACTATCCAGATATGTTTTTTTGCCTGCCTTAAGAGAGGCAACATTCCAGTCTAGAGAGAACAATTTAAAGAGCATCATCATTGCCTTGGCATCTTTTGTTTTGAAGGTTTCAGTTTGGCTTGAGAGGTTGTATGTATAGTGACAAACAACTCAGATACACCAAAGATAGAATAAACAAAATTGTATATGCATATCTAGACTGATGAAATATCAGACATAAGTGCAACATCTGCATGTCTTTATTGTAGACTGTTTGCCAACCAGTGACTATCAATACAAATTCAAGGACATAATTGGAAGGCAGTAGAACTATATACAAGAGATGAGGTAATCAGTCCCTCAGTCTCGGAGTTGGTGAATAGCACCGTATGTAGTTGTGAAGAGTCTGAAGAACAGACAAGAAGGCTGACGCTTGTGTACTGGCGTCAGGTGGTAAGGTACATGTAGCACAGACAATGTCACTGGTAGGCTGGATTTCGCAGTGACAAAGTCTTCACCTGCTACACAAACCTTACCACCCGACGACTGTACATAAGCGCCAGCCTTCCAATTTTGTCCTGAATTTGTATTGATAAAGTCACTAGCTGATAAAATGTCTACAATAAAGATATGCAGATGTTGACCTTGTGTCTAATATTCATCTTGTTGGTACAATATACCATTTATACCATTCATGTACAAAATATCTAAACTACTGAAGAGAGACACATTTGCAAAAAGCTTTTATTTAGACAATGCTTCCATATGCATGCATGCACCAATGGATGTATGCACAATATATATGCAAAGCAACCACAGGGGAGTTGAAATAAAATACTTAAATAATTTGTTGAACGAACACAGGACAATAATATTACCAAGCAAAATTGAAATGACACTTATTTTTGCCTTCCTCAGGCAGTGTATAATGGGAATGAAAAAAAAAAAAATACCGAAGTGGAAACATGGCAAGGGCATAACAGTAATGGGCTTATTTGAAGGGAATAGTCTGATGTGTGTTACTGGCTAGAGGAGAATGACTAACGAGTAACAAACAGTAACAGCTCTTGCAACAGTGATGAACAACTAGCAAGTGAAAACTGGTTACAGGCATCAGATTGAAAGTTTTTCTGTCTTGGCAGCTAACTTAAGGATGATACAACACCTTCAGATGCACTGGAGGAGTGCAGTGTCTTAAACTGTACAACGTACAGTATACCATGAGTTATTTGTACATTGTCATTGGTACTGGAAACCAGTGTTATGGTATATTTAGCACGTAACTGTCAATATGCTAAAGAAAACAATGTATGACGTTTCCCTAAGGACACTGCATCACCTTAAGGAATTGTAACAAGCTGCACACTTTTACTTATGATTAAATACACTGCAATATGCACACAACTTTTATCCAAAACTGATGCATTTACTACACAAGATCCAAAACTCCACATTTTCACAGGCATCACCTTCAGCTAATATACCAGGTTGGGACAGCTATGTAAGACCAAGGACAAAACAGCAACAGCCTGGATGGCAAGACTTACCCTCAAAATCAGTCACAAATACCGATACAGTACTTCTTTTTTTTTCATTACTGAATTACAAACTTAAATCATTACTTAATTACCACATATTTCTTTGCTTTATCTCCCAGTAAGATTAACTGAACATTAATGCACTGTACTTACGTATATTTGGGGCACTGAGCTGGCCCTGCTTGGCAGGAATGGCAATGATCTGACCACTGGGAAGCTTGCTTGTCTGCAATACAGTCTGCCCCTGACAAACAAAATAAAAGAAAAAAGTATGTTACATTAGCTACAACTTGTACTTCAAATCATTCATTAACAAAGACAAGAAAAATAAGCTAAAAGAAACGTTT